CTGAAAGTATGCAATAAATTGTTGTTAATCACAGTCACCCTACAGTGCTGTAGAACATTATGACACTCTAGGAAAGTAATCTATGCCTTAGGATAAGCCAAATATGCCATCAACACACTCCCAATCTATTTTCCTTTATGTCACTTGTATTGAAGAAGCAATAGTTAATAGAGCTAGTAGCCTGATGGCATCCTTGTAATAAGATTATCTATATAAGTAGTTACATTGTAAGTATAGTTACTACTGGAACAGGATTGACTAGAAAAGTGCCAGAGATTCTTTGCCATTTACTGACAATGCAATGAACTGCAGAAAGCAGAAAACCATTTTTCTACTCTATTTTTATTATTAAACTGTATTATAATAAAATGTTTCTAAAGTAAAAGTTAGTATAATAAGTGATATATTTCTTTTATCTTAAACTATGTTATAATTTTCAGGATAATCTTAATAAATACATAGATAAAAGTGGTCAAGTGTTCTTTATTTTATCTCTTGTGATTCTCATGTGACTTTCCAACGTAGGGAGTACAGGTAATATCTCATTTGTAAATGTGAAAGTTGTGGCTCGTGACAGTCATGTGACAAGATTAGAAAGCATACTGGAATTAGAATTCAGGTCTCTTAATATCTAACATAGAATTCTGTCTTCTACACTGGGATGCTTCCCTTTGAAGTAATGGTCATTACCATCATCACCACCACCACCATCATCAACCACAATAACAATAAATGTCCAAGTACCTTTCTTGACTTTGTGCATCATTTTACATTGTTAAGCCTTGTTTTTCCTAAAACTCATTCCTTTGATGATTTTTGTGACACTGCCCCTCTACCTGTTTTCTTGAAGCTTTTCTGATTGTTTTTTCACATCCTCTTTTGCTATATCCATTCCTTCAATGCTAATGTTGTGCTCAGCTCTCTGATATTCCTACTTTAACTTAAAAACTACATGATCTTGTACTCTGTCAAGGCTAAAACCACACACGACAAGCTCCATAGCTGTAGGTACTTATTTCCCTTCTAGGCATATACCCTCAAACACATGTCAAGCACCTAAAACCCAACACATCCAAAACTGAATTCAGTGACACTACCTCCGTCTCACTCCTAACTAGCAAACTCCTCTATTCTCACTATCTTGATGTCTCAGGAAACACCCAAACCAAGAAACTGAGGACTATACACTGCTTTCACCATGATGATCTAATGATATTTCCTTTGGAAAGCATTCTTAGATGGAAGTGAGATGGCAGTCCTCTGAAATTTTGTCAATACTTGCTCAGATATGAGTGATTTATTTATTTATATTTTAAAAAGTTTACTCAACATGTACTTTTAGTGAGCAAAACAATATGATATAGTCTTCTTATGGGAGGATAACATGTACAAGAACTAAGCAAGACATTCAGTGTTAGAACAGATGTCAATGATCATCTAGCTAAAACATTTTCTGTGCTTGAAAGCTCTCCATAAACATCCTGGCCTAGAGTAGTCATTTACTGCATGCTGTGTTTGTAGTCTTATATTTAAATAGGCTTCATATATTTAAGTTTTCTGTTCCATGTGGGTAAAGACAATGTTTAACAATCCTTTAAATTTTCCATGGTAGATTCCTGCATGAAACAAGAGAGCTAATAAAATCTCACCAATTGGTTTTCTCTCTACAGAATTATACTATTAGAAAAAGTCAAGACATTCATACTCTATAGTGAATATTAAGGACTATAATCAATTTCAAAGAAAATACTTCCACATGAAGTAGGCTAGGTCTTACCTTCAATCTTTTATCAGTCTTTGGATTTAAAAAGATTTGATAGGGAATAGAATGTGATTTCAGCTAGACTATGATTTATGGACTCCTACTATTTTTGCTAAATTTTTCTTTTATTTTCCTAAATCCATTGATAGTGAATGGCACAGCTTTCCAGGTAAGAATCTGCAGAAAGCAGTTGCATTTTTAACTACTCTATTCTAATGCAAATTTAATTCTAAAGCATCTGTCATTTGCAGTAACCTAAATTTAGAAACCCACGGGGACCTGGATTTGAGCTGCATCTTATATCTTTAAAGTATTTCTTTCCAATTTAGATCATTAAGACTTGATTCTCATGTACTGAATTCTACTGGGATAATTTTAAAGGATATTAGTGCTTAAAATAGGATTACAGCAACATAAAATTTTATTCTGTAGCCTTACAGAAGCTAAAAATTTATGGTTTACTTGTGACAGAGATGCTCAAACTTACCTCAACATAAGAAATAATGATAATAAAAGATGGTGTAATAGATTATCACTGACAAAGTCTAAATCGCAAATTAAATGAAGTTTTATTCTCCCTATCTCAGTTTTTAATCCATGGCGTAGACAAGAAATTTGAGGACTATTATCTTTCTTTTCAAGTTAATTAACTCCTCATTATAAAAATGGCAATGGCACAAAATGTTTCTGAGAAATAAAATGCTGCTTTTGAAAAACACAGATTTGATTTCTAAGTAGAGGCAACAGAAAATTCATTTACTGCCATATACTTCTACAAAAGTAAAGTATGTTATCTCATTACTTTAAATGAATGAAAAGAAATTAAGTGTTGGATGATTCTAAAATCTATTCCTATTTGTGATGTCTACATTTTAAACAGATCAGATAAAGTGAGAAAACTGAAGAAGTTAAAATCCCTGAGCTACAGCAAATACTTATCGTGATAAAATCCTTGATTTAGCAAGAAAGTGATAAAAATGTAATGTCAAACAAAAGTATATGCTTATAATTTGTTACATAAATTAGAAAACAATAAAATGAAAATCACATATATACAAGGGTATGTCAAAAAGTTCATGAAAAATAGAATTAAAAGTTATACAAACCTTTGCATGAACTTTTTGAAGTATCCTGGTATTCGTGTTTGAAGACACAGACATATTAACATAGGGACAGGAACAAATACAGGGTGGGAGAGGGAGGAGGAAACTTTATGTTTTAACAACATGTTAACACATTAGCTATTTGTTACTGAGAATAAATGTGGTTGCAACCAACTACCTATCCTTGTTTTCTAACTGCTGATTTCTACTTGGCCCCCTGGTTAGCTTAAGAAAATTCTAAGAAAGGAAAAGAAATCTCTAACATCACTTCCTTTCTGCTACGAAGAGCAATTCAGCGTTTCTGAAATGATGCCAGATTTTCTGCTAACAAGCTGACAGATAAATCACATTTGATTTGCTTTCATTATTTTCCTTTTAGATCTCAATTTTAAGGTGTAGTGGATGTAATGAATGAAGCAATAATTCTGAAGTAGGTGGTCACTGTGATTGATTTAGAAGACATTTGCCAAGACAGAGACAAAGTAGACTAAATATCCAACCTTCCCAAAATCTATCACAAAGTACATACCATAAAAGGTATTAATAAGTTCCATGCTGTTGTAAAACACAACTACAAAAAAAAAAAACATGACTTAAAAAAGTAAACAAAAAAAAAAAAAAAAAAAAAAAGACCAGGGCTGCTTTAAAAGGACAATCTTAAATTCAAACAAATGCAAAACCAACTATAATGAAAAAGATTATTTTGCTTTGACAATGTGAATATAAATCAACCTCTAATTAAAAACATTCATAAAAATTTTATGGGCAAGAAAACGAAAGTGTTTTAAACAGGGTAGTCCTATTTTTGAACAAATACATACAACTATTAATAGGAAATGGTACAATTAATGTATTTGCTGCTGGTGCTACTCTAAAACCTGATTCTTTTTTCTTGCAAAGAGACCTAATGTAGGAGTAGTGAAGAATTTTTTTAAAAGATAAATATCTCTAAAAGGCTAAATTTCTACAGCAAAAGAATATTACCTGTTTTTTCTACTTAAATGATTTGTTTACTTAGAACAGAATACATAAAAGTTATTATACTGCTTGCATTCAAAAAAATACTTTCATGTAAATATAAGGTATAGAGGACAGTATTGTGAAATCAGAAATTTATCAGATTAGCTTTGGTACAATTAATAGCTTAGTGAGCTATGGCTATTAGCTAGAAAGCCTGCAATCATACAGCATTTTAGAGCTGTACCACTATTTCCACTTTTTTTTTTTTTATAATAATTAGAAGTAAGACCCATCTGTTCTCAAATCCAATGTCTAGTAATTGTGTAATATGGGGCAACTTAACTTCTCTGAGCTTCTTTTTCCTCACTTGTAAAATGCAAATAACAATATAACTCACCAGGAATTTTAAAAAAAAGTTCAAATGAGCTTTGCTATGTATAGAACTGGCTAATGATAAGTCATTAATAAATGGTTATAGATATTATTAATATCAATTATAAAACGTGTGGTAAATTTCATCTTACAAAACTTGAAGCCTTAGCTTTTGAGGTTGGTTTAAATATAATCCTGGCCCAAAATCTTTCTAACCTGGCAATTGATGATAACCACAACAGAAAAATAAAAATTTTCTGATACCTCATACAGATTCAAAGGTTGTCTTATATGCTTCATTTGTGCTACCTAACTTTTACGTAACCTTTCATGTGCATTGTCTTCTTCCAGTTGGATAGCAAGTATCCTTACTGGATATGTTCTATTTTGTATATATTTGTTTCTAACATAACTGTGAGAAAAGTGAGACTTACAGTAAGAACTTAATCTCAGAGCCTGTATAACTTGCTCTTCCTGAATGCCCCAGAGAGCTTTCAAATATAAACATAATTCAGGAAGAAGACTCACCATCAATCTCAAATTTAGGAAAACACATAAGCACAGAACAGCAAACAACCTTTAACTGGGTACCATCAAATTCATCAACCTTTACCATAGTGCCACACACTGGGAAAATTTCCTCCTATTCATATATTATTCTTTCTTCTCTACAATACTTTGTCAGTAGCTGATTCTGTATTTAGCTGCTCATTTTCAAATACCACTTGTGCCACAATAATTACGCTTTAAATGAACCACTTGAGTTTCCCATCATAGTTGCAATGTGAAATAATGGCACCTACCACTGTAGCGTTTGATTGTGTCAATGGTTAAGAATCTCTTCACCACAAGATACGCAGAGCCGGGTTCAGCTAATGAGCTCCACCGAAGCACCTGTTCCAGTACATTTTCTGTGTAGTGAAGAGGGCGCTCTGCAAAAAAGTAACCCAAATCGAATTGCAAAGAAAAACATGAAGACAATTTTTATTTTAATTATAAACTTTTAAAAATTCATTTGAAAGGATCTGTATGCAACAATGTACATAATCATAACTTATGTTACCCAATAACAGCACTAGGACTACATACAAGAGACCCTCACACCTCGAACACCATTAAGCACGTAATAAAATTTGCTATGTAAATGAATCTGTGCAGGAATACGTATTTATTACTCAACTATTTTTTTAAAAAATTCAGAAGTGCTTTAATATAGATGAAATCTAATTCTACCCTTTGTGCAATGAATGTCTTTATCTTCTTTTCAATTTAGGTAACATTCTGGTTTTCTTAGGAAAAACTGCCTATTTGTAGATGCAACTAAATAATTTTGGAAGGACTAGCAAAATGTTGCCCAATACTAAGTAATAAGCATAAATTAGTTCTTTGTTTCTCTCAATAACATTACAATCTTATTATTTCTGATCAGTACTAGGGAACAACCTTATAACTGAATTCTTATCATCAATTAATGTGAAATTATAAAATATAAATTATACAGAGAACATATAAAAATAATTATTATACTAGTATTGAGTAACCTATGTTTAACCATTAGGAGAAATATCAACCAGAAACATATGTAGCAATATTATACATTAACTGTTGATATAATAGGCCAATAAGCAAGAAGTTAAATGAGAGCTTAAAGATTTCTCCTTCATGAATATTCATCCACATGCATTTAAAAATACGGTTGCCTAAAACAAAATGTATCACACATTCTTAGCACAGAGTTTAATAAATAAAGCACAGTACACTGAAAATAGCATAATTGAAATAGTAAGAACAGAAGCTCTGATATGAAGATATCAATAATGCCTTTTTAGTATTGTAGACATATACGAGTATAAGAAACTCAACTCCTTTATACCCTCCTAAATGTAAAGCTATAGCATTTGAGCTTTTTGTTTTTGGTTAAAATAGTAAAGCTAATGACAAACAAAAAAGAGCATGTCAATAGCCTTTTATTCAAATAAGACCCATAATATTGTAATTGGAAATAAAACACGATTAAAAATCATCCTGCATAATACTGGTGTTCCCTGCTATGACCACATGAATCCAGAAGTCATCAGTAATCCCAGGTCCACAAAAGAAGAGAACAAGTTTTCTGCTTCCAGTGTAAATTACCAGATTTTTGCTTCCTATCCAGTACACTAAAATCTAGTTCTGCATTCTGTGCTTAGTGGAGCAAGCTTACTCATTACAATAGCAATTAAAAAACAAAACAGAACAAAAAAACCTGCTAGGCCATATATCTTGAGGACAAATTTACTTCTTATTTACTATTATATATCCCCTGCACACAGAATAGTACTGAGTACATAACAGATACTCAGCAAATATTTGAAGAATTAAATATCTTACAAATTTCTTTGGTGGCACATAAATTAACAGAAAATATTTGCATACAGCAGATAAAATATAACTTTTGTACATATAACTTTTTGTAAATATAACTTTTGTGCTATATCAATATTACTTTTTTTCAAATAATTCTCTAAAAAGCTAGGAAAGGGTCATAACTGCTCATAATTTGCCAAAGTTATAATTCAATTATTAACACATAAACTGGTTGTCTTATAACTGGAATTAAATGTATTTAAAAGTAAAACTAATTATAGAATAAGTACTGCCTTTATGTTTGGTTATACATTTCCTGATTTCACTACTTGCAAGCTCTGAGACACTATGGATCCCTTTAATAGTTGCCTTTTATGGAATAACAACTATGTATCAGAAATTACATATGCTGGATACTTTGTATCAGTTATCACTTTCAATTCTCACAATAACACTTTTCAATAGATACTATTATTCATATTTTACATGTAAGGGAACATAAGAATCACAGGGATTCAGCCACTTGCTTAAAGTCACATAGCTGGTTGTGATGGTTCATTTTAGGTGTCAGTTTGAGTAGATTAAGAAATACCTAGAAACCTGGTAAAGTGTTATTTTGGGGTGTATTTGTGAGAGCATTTCCAGAGGAGACTAACATGTGAGCCTGAGTGGACTAGGTGGGGAAGATCTGCCCTCGATATGGACACAATCTTCTGGGGGCCCAGAGAGAACAAAAACGAAGGAAAAGGTGAACGTATCTGTTTATCCACTAAGCTGGGATACACTCTTCTCTCCTGTCCGTGGACATCAGAACTCCAGGCTCCCCAGCCTTTGGGTTCCAGGACTTACACCAGTGGCACCCGAGGGCTCTCAGGCCTTTGGACTTGGACTGAGAATTACACCATCAGCTTCCCTCGTTCTGAGGCTATCGGAGTTGGAATGAACCACACTACCAGTACCCCAGGGTCTCCAGTTGCAGATGGCTTATCGCAGGACTTCTCAGCCTTCAATATCTCATGAAGCAATTCCCCTAATAAATCCCCTCTCATATATCTACACACATAGTCTATTGGTTCTGTCTTTCTGGAGAACCCTGACTACTAATATAGTAGTTAAGGTGAGAAACGGAGATTTGAAACCCAAACCTACATGACTTTAGAGCCCCAAATTTTAACTACTACACTTAGTTTTATTGTGGACAAGTATGACAACCTCCCTATGATGGTTTTCTCACATGTAACTTGGGGAAAAAAGCATCAACTTGCCAACATTTTTTTTAAGACTGAACAAGGTAACATAAGCAAAGTGAAAAACGTGAGATCACACTTTCGCCTTCACTGTTCTCTTTCACTTTTTTATCTTTAGTGAGAAAATGGGAAAGAAATAATGGTAAAATAATTTCAACTTCCTGCAAATAAGGAAGATGATGGCCGTGCAGTTGGCATGGATGTGAGAATAATATTCTTAGCTGGAATACGGTATCTGAGTTGAAATAAAAAATTATGCTCCTTTATTAAATGATTGCTATGGATAAAACGTGACCCCCAAAAGTTCATTTATTCAGAACTTGATCTCCACTGTAACAGAGTTAAGTGGGTGGGAAATTCAATTATGGTGTCTGAATGGAGGGGCCTTTGAGAGCTGATTGGATCCTGAAGACTGTGCCCTCCCTCATCAGTGGATTAACCCATTCATGAAGTAATGAGTTATCATGGGTGTGGTTCTGATTTATAAGGACAGCGAGTAAGAAGGCTAGCTTTCTTGCTCTGGTCATTCTCACCATGTGACACCCTGCATCACTGTAGAGAGTCCCTACCAAGAAGAAGGCCCTCTCCAGATGTATTTCCTGGACCCTGGACTTTCTAGCTTCCAAACTGTAAAAAATAAATTTTGTTTTCTTATAAATTACCCAGTTTCAGGTATTCTCTTACAAACAACAGAAACAGACTAACACAAAGATTAAATTGGTAGTAAGACTTCCTGAATACCAGAACATTTAAAGAGGGTCACTATTAAACACTGTTGCAATTAGATAACACGATGATAGCTCTAAAACATTTAAAATTACACTAAAATATATCACAACAGAAACAGAAGCTTATCAATGGGCATATGATTAATTTTGGCTGCAAAAAAATCAGTCAAGTATGTTTTTCACATCAGTATCATGGTATGAAATACTTTGGAAGAATGAAAATCCTGCAGATCCAAGTTCCTAGATTAAAAACAGAGATGAAAAATGGGATAAAAAGATAAATATTTATTAGACTGTCGAATACTACAATTATAAAATAGCATTAATATCCACCTTAAGAAAAAAAAATTGAGTCATCAAACATTGTTGAAATATAAATTCCTACAAATAAATTTTTTACTTATTTACAACTACCTCTCATGATAGATGAAAAGTTACATAGTATTAACCTTTGCATACTACCTACAGCATAAAATTTTCTAAAAATTCAGTGTAGTTATTTGAGAAGAACATGTTAAGGAGGTAGTTCTTCAGCTACATAAAACACGATGTTATAAATTGCTTAAAGTCTTGTTACAAGATAAGCCTGGTCTCCCTTCTAAAGAGTGCTATCCATTTTCCATCTGAAATAACAGCTGTCATCCTTAAATTTCTGGCAGTAATAACACAAGATTTCTAGAGACAATTAGGACCTCTAAAATAATTAAATCCTTAGTGCCAAACTGAGAGCTGTGCAAGCCTTTCTCTGTCCTGTCCACAGAACTTTACGTGTCAATCAGAAGAGCTGGAAAGAATCCCAAATAAAAATAAGCAGATCTTCCATATCACAGTAGCTATGAGGAAGAAAAAAACATATTTTGTATGATATTACTGCATTGAAAGTAATTGTTTCACAAACCTGAACCTCTCAGTGAAGCCTACTTAAATGAGGTCCCTCAAGCAGTTAATTTTTCTTCAAGATGTAAAGGACCTACAGGGTACAGGGACTACACTGGCAAAGTATGGGTTCAATTTTAAGGTGAAGATTTAAAATAATAGCATACTTTAGAAGATTAGCTCTTGATAGCAGAGATACCGTCTCCTAGGGTGGGTTTCAGCTTGTCCTAATGATTGGCGACAATGAGTCAAAGATACTGACATCCTTTAAAGAGTGAGTCAAGAAAGATTTGTTCTCCACGCAACACAGATTTCAAGGTTCCCATCAGGAATTCATTTAGATGAAAAGCCTAATTATAAATTAATTGAGCCTAGAGTCTACGTCAGCTTAACATATATTTCATAGGGTTGTAATATAAAATCAAACTATCAGAAAATACGAAGAATCTGACTACCACATAAACAAAAAAAGATTGTGCTTTGTTTTAGTCAGAACTTTTCTAAGAGCTGGGCACCATTTCACCATGATGGCAATGTTGCTAAGGGTATTTGAGTTACAAAACTGACATGCTTATTGCAGTCTGCATTTGTAGCTGTCACATCCATGATGATTCCACTTATAGGTTTAAGAATCTATTTTCATCATCTTTAACCACATTCAGAGTGTCTCAGCAATTACATGCTATCATGCATATGTTTTTCTCATTTATTTTTATATTATAATCAGGGTATTATATTAATTGTTTAATGAGTATAATAGATTATCTCAGGATAGTAAAGGAACATTACAAAGTATTTATTATACAAAGGGGGCATTGGATATGACAGGATGGAGAACTACTGCTTAAAACTTACAAGTACCTACAACAAAATGAAGTCCAGTACTCCGGTTTATTTATTTATACATCCTTTCCATTCATCCGTTTCATTTAGTTTTGGGTACATCATTAATTGGAGGATTTATTTCTACATTAAGAATGCACCGGTTCCCTGCTGACATTCTTCTTATCAACTACAATCTTGTCACTATCTATTCCTTTACTTTTGTCCTCATTTTATATTTCACTTTATCTTCTCTGCATGTTACTAGAAATAACACTTAACATTTCAGAAGGTCAGGGGTGCACGTGGGTTCCATCTGCTTCAGTAAGCCAACACAATCGGAAGCCCTTGAGTTGCTTCCCTTGCATTGTTCCTCTAGAAACAGTGAAAATAAATCTTAGTTTTCTCTCATGGTGATTTCTCCCTGTACAGCTGACCAAACATTAAGTCCATGCCAAATTTGAATTCTTAACTCCGAGTGTGTTCTTTATTGAGGTACATGGAATGTTTCTTTGATTATATATTCAGACATTCACGAATCAAAACTTACTATCTCCTAGTCTTTCTATATGTTCATTAAGATAGCTTTTCTTTTTATTAGAGAGAAGGAACAATTAAATACACACACACACACACACACACACACACACACATATATATATATATATATTCCAATCCCACCTTAGCATTTGTGATGCACTAATTGTCACAGGCAAGTAGATAATCAGTCATTTGGGGGTAAGCATCCCCTGATTTTCCAAGATGAAGTTTCAAAACAATGTGATGGAGTTTGGCTGTGTTGGCCCCCCCAAAACTCATGTGGCAATCTGATCCCCAATGTGGCAGTGTTGGGAGCTTTTTAAGTCATGCGGGCAGATCTCGTATGAATGGGTTAATGCTCTCCCTGGGTGGGGGGAGTAATGAGTGAGTTCTCACTCTATTAGTTCCCATGAGAGCTGGTTGTTTAAAAGACCCTGGCACCTTCTCTTTCTCTTTCTCTCTCTCTCTCTCTCTCTCTCGCTTCCTCTCACCATGTGATCTTGTACCTGCCAGGTGCCTGCCACTTTCTGCCATGAGTAGAAGCAGCCTGAGGCCTGTGCCAGATGCAGCTGCCCCAGAATCATGAGCCCAATAAACATCTGTTCTTTATATATTACCCAGTCTCAAGTATTCTGTTATAGCAACACAAAATGGACTGATATACAATGTTTCCAGGTACCTACATAATGCAATCCCTCTTTTAACTACATACAATTCCTTCCTATCTTCCTATTCCTTCCTTTTCTACTTCCTCCTCTCAGTCAGGAGGGCCAGCAGCCAAAGGCACAGGGTCCCAATGCTGTAACACAGGGATAGGCTTTAATTTGACTCAATCCTTGAGAGAACAAGTGTGGTAGGGAAAAGGATGCCTACCCCCAAATCCTGCCATGACTCTCCTAAAAAATGACAGAAATAGAAGCATGCAGGAGACAATTGGCTGGGCCAGAGCCTTGAGATCTGCTAGTGGTTCCTAATGTACAAGCAGAGATCCCTTTCTATTTGCCTTCCACATTTGGATACATCCATTCAAGGAGCAACACTGAATATCACTCAGGTTCAGAATACCATCATTTGTCGTTCCATCTCAGTTAAAAAGAATTTTGTGTGGTATGTTCCACATCAGTACACTATTCTAGAGTTATTGAGAGATAAAAATGTCATAAATATATGGTAAATGCCCTAAAAAATCATATAGCCTAGGTCCAGATATACTATACTACAAGTCAGATAGAATGCAGTATTATAGAACTATAAGCAAATGATCAGAAAGAGATCAGTGTCAACTGTGTTTATCCAGGTATCATCATGGAGGAAGAGGCATTTCAGCTGGACCTTGAAGGATGGATAGGCGATGAGGAAATCATGAAATGGCTTTAAACGGTGGAACAATATAATCCAATTTGTGGTTTAGAAAGATAGTTCTAGCAATAATGCTGACAGTTATCATTTACTCACAAATACAATGAAGCTGATAACCTAGCCCCTTTCCTTAAAATTAAACAAATAAAAATCAAAAGACTCTACCACCCTGTACCACTTAATCATACAAAATGCTGATTCATGTATTCAACAGATTTTAATTATATGGCTACTATGTATGAGGCACTGTGACAGACATTAGAAATGGAAAAAGACAGAGTCCCTTCTTCATTCCAAGGAGCTACTGTCACAACAGACAAATATAAATCCAGGTGATAGGCACTACAAAAAGACAAGACAAAGTGCAGTGAAATTCACAGTCTGAGGTTTTAAGGAGATAAGCAGTGGGCCATGTGGGGGAAGGACATAAGTATATTTGGGAAAACCAGCTTACACACATTAGTCAAGCACAAAGAATGGAATATATTGTCTATAAAGAACATATATAATGAGAAAAGATAACAAAGGAGATTAGGGCAGATGAAAACCAATATTTAGAAGACAAAGGAAGAAGAAACTACACATAAGTAAAAATGAATAGAGAAACAAGAGGAGAACCCAGGCAGCACTGAAAATAAAGTGAAGATCATAAAAGGAAAAGGGGATGGTCATTAACAATAAATGCTACAGAAAGGACAAGTAAAGTCTGACACAGATCAATTGGACTTGACAGCTGTGGGGTCACAGGAGTTATTTACCAGAGAGTCATGGGGAGTACTGAGCCTGACCATGGGGAGACACTGAGAAATGACACCAAAACATGAGAGTCATTGAATCCTGGCAACGTGTATTGAAAAATGACATTTTATCACAAATTATAGCTTTAAGAAATTGTTCACAATAAAAAGAAATAAAGGATTGAAAACATCAAGATGGAACAATGAAACACAAAGTACTTGATAATCCCATTTCATTCGACAACACTCCTAATAATATACCATAGGGTATTTCAATGTTGAATTTTAATTTTTATCTTGAGCTTGCAGGTGGCAAGATTTTCCTTTTGGCAGTTTGACAGTGTACTTGAAAGGGTCCCAAGACCTTAGTAGGTATCAGCTAGACAGATGGTCAAGGTACAAAGACATTCTGCATCTTATTTTTTTTTCCTAGAGGTCTTTAAAACCAAATGGTGTCATTAGAATGTTAAGCTTATTCAGCACTTGACTACTGGGGTAGTCAAGGTGTTTTAAAAGCTCTCTTTATCCTTCGGTGTCTTTGCTATGAAAGATGACAAATATTTGATCCACTAAAGATAGAAGAAAAGGAAAAAGCCAAAAAAAAGAGGCTTCTGCTAGGCCTAAACAAAATGCTTTTTTAAAATAATAAATAATCTTTTAAATCAACATTCTTTGTTCTTGTAAAATAAGTGGCATACAGGAATAAGGTGAATGGTGGTGATAAAATTTAAAATACTGTTACAAATCAAATTGCTTGTCCCTATAAGCAAAGGCCTTATTTCCTGAGGTAGCAACATAGATGCCTAATGCTCTGCACTATATTTTTATAGTCAATAAAATAATATAATTATCTTGATGAGTTAAATCATAGGAAGGCAACCCCAAGTGGTGATAATATCTATCAACACATGAACTAAGGTAGAAGGGAATTCATAATGAGATGTTAACCTTTAGAAAAACAAAATATCAGTAATGACTTGTCACCAAAAGAGTATTTCTTCATACTATAAAGAGTTTAAGAACCCCTAGCATGAAAATCACTTACCCAGCTCTTCATTTTCAATAACTTCAAATGTGGCCCAAATATCCCCTTTTGTGGGAATGATATTTTTTATTGCTAATATATCATTAGTTAATTCTTCTGCTTCCATCACAGGAGATATCTATAAGAGAAGTAATATTTCTTCAAAAGATATGTCAGACTAAGAAGTAGCCTTATGCTAGGGCAATAATACTCCCCGTTCACTATCTAAAAACGCCCCAAGTTTCTTCCTAATATGGTTCAAATTAGCTTCTCTAACCACATAGGGAAAACAGCATGTTCAGATCTTCTCCACAAAATGTAATACATTTTAATGTTAAGTGCAAAAGTCTATTACAATCTAGACATAAAGAGGAATATTTTTTTTTTTCTCACTTAGTAAGCACTTAGATTGACTCAGAAAGGAAGAATGTGCCTAGTCACACACAGAAAGACCTTCACCAGACAGCAAATCCAAAGTTTTAAGAGTAAAACTTTTCACTTGTCATTCTATAATCAAGAGTGCAGAGTGACTTGGTTATTCAGGCTGGGCCCTAAATTATGCACAGTTGACTGCAGTCTGTCAAGACAAAAAGCCCCAGGGTTATGGTAGTCTGTGGTTTGCCCTGCCATGGCAAATGACAGACGGTGGGATACCGAAGTGTGCTGGGGCCAGGATTTCAGGACACAGGGCAGAATATGCAGTGCCAGTCTAGGGGCCATCTCCACAAGAGTCACAAAACCTGAGGCAACTGTTTAAGCACATCATCTCTTCAGGGACTTTTGGGACTTTTGATTAGTTTCTTCTTGTTTTTGTTTTTGCCAATCTTAAATGCACGCTGGTCAAAAGCAAGATGGCTTTCTTGTATTAGAATTTACTTATAATTTTAAACAAGTATGAGATATTTTAAGCTTTAGAATACCGCAACTCCAACTGCAAAGTTTGCGTGTTTTTGGTAAAAGTATATTCCTATTAACAAAATAGAGAAGAAATGGGATCATTTCCATTTGTCCTGCCCACTACTGCTCACAAGCATATTGCACACATATAAATAATAAAAAACATTTTCCACTACAGCTAACTCACATAGTCTATCTTTTATATTTTGTGGAATTTAGTGTTTGGGGACTATATTAATTATACAATTAGGTCCACAGTTTTCTATTTAGAAAAGCCCAATAAAAATATAAACTTAAAAAACAACAACAACAAACTTAGCATCTGGGAAAAGTGAAGAACTTCAAGCAGTAAAAATTGTACATTAATCATTTCAATAATGTTGCTGATCTGCATGGATTCAAAAAAAAGTTTTTAAAAAGTATAGCCCCTTCTTAAAAAATAATAAATTACTGAGAAACCAAACTTATGAAACAATGGGACAAAGAGTACTTCAGCTTGAAGTAGAAAGACCAGAACTTTACTTCCTGCGCCAGGAGAGACCCAGAGCCGCTCTTTAGAACACCTAGAACTCCATATTTAGGCAATCACTACTCTATGCAATATGCAGATCAGTATAAAGAACATCAGGTTTGGAGTTTGGTGACCCTGGTTTGTATTCTGGCCTCAGTTTTTTAAATTTCCAGTTTCCATTCCTATAAACTTGGGATATCACCTGCTTCATCTACCTCTGTGGGTGAGGTAATGCTCAGCTGAGATAAATGTAACCACAGGTTTTGCAAGCTCTTAAGTACTAAAACAAATACTAGTGATTATTTTTGTATAGTTTTTGTTTTTAAGAGCATTTGGAGTTTCATAGGTGAAACTGGACACAGTCTTTTATCTAAATACTCTAAAGATAACATGAGAATTTTGCTTAATTGCAATAACTTCTGTTATGGCTTCACAAGTAAGAAAAAATTAAAATATGCTACTAAAGAGTTTATGTGTAGGTAAATCAAGTGCTTTGAATACTTCTTCCAGTGTCTGTGATGGATCTGTGCTGACTGATCTGTACTAGTTCCTCATGTCCCTTATGATCAACACCACATACTCAATATACAAAATAAAGATGTGGCCAAAGAGTAGCAAGGCAAATGTCTCATAAGGCCAAAGTGTATTTGGTCGTATTTCAGCTCCATGTTCTAAATAAAGTAGCTAGTGTAATACAGTCATAAACATACCCAAATTCACGACGGCAATATATTTAACATAACTAAAGTCCAGAAATATCTAATGTTGTGACTCTGTTTAAACTTGGACTTTAAAAAGATACGGAACTAAAGGTAAATTTCTGTTGCGTAGCAGAATGTCTATTCCTCTTATAGAGAAAGTAGTCTTACCAATTAAGAATCTGAAATATCACAGTTACTATCCCTAAGGCAGAGTAATTACTGAATGTGGTAGCATGAGAAGTATCTATTCAGCACAAATAGTATTTTCAAGGAAAAAAAGAGTTCTCCAATATACAAGTAAATTAGAATACTGGATGTTAAAGTATAGGAAACAAGGGTGGGAGATTATTAATAATAGCACTTGTAGTAATAGCAACACCATGTACTGAGCAATTTGCTAAGTGTTTTACATGCATCATCTTAAGACCTCACAACAATGCTATGATTTAAATACTGTAATTTTTCTTCATTTCATAGGTGAGAAGATTAATGCTCAGACAGGGTAAATAACTTGCCTAAAGTCAAGTACTTGAGCCCAGGTTATTTTCCAGAACCTACAGAAAATCCTAACTGTAAGCTGAAGCACAAAAGATGTTCTCTTTCCAAATGACTAAAACACAGAATTTCCAGAAGATTTTGTTATGAAAAGTTAATCTTGTCATCAGTCATTGTTTGAACTGGAGAGGTAGCATAAAATATAAATAATGGGCCGGCCCGGTGGCGCACTGCTACAGTGCGCCGCTTGGGAAGCGCGGAGGCGCTCCCGCCGAGGGTTCGGATCCCACATACGGACCGGTTCCCGCTCACTGGCTGAGCAAGGAGCGGGGGCAACGCCAAGGGTTGTGATCCCGTTGCCGGTCCCGGTCCGGTACAGGCGCGACACTGAAGGTTGCGATCCGTTGCCGGTCACGAAAAAAGACAAAAAGACAAAAAAAAAAAAATATATATATATATATATATATAAAAATAATGCTGGAAAATTCAAAATATGTAAATTAATGCTAACACTTGTGATTTCCAACAGTGCTCTTTACATCCATCTTTAGGACTCACCCGAATTATAATACTGCAGTCGGGTTGCTTCCTTCCTACATACACTTCAATTAGCAAATCTCCAGCCTGGGAAACCTACAAAAAGGCAGAGATGAAAACAGCACACATAATTATGTTGCAAAAACACACATATGACCAAGACAGTTATAAAGTCCTCGTCATATTTCTCAGTATTTCATAACAATGAAATGAACTCAGATCCCCTGCTTACAAGCATAATGTACCCATTTCCAGATATGGCTGATTAAGGATAAGGAATCTACACAAATCAGCCACAACAATCACAATGCAATTTTTTAAAATCTCTCAAGATCTCAGTGTTCTCAAATACTCTTACATTCTTACTGAAATAATGAATCTGGCTAAAATGGAAATACACTGACTTCAACAACAGAAGTTGTAGGAGCCGGCACCAAGTACATTAACAGGATAAACAAAATGAGGAGTGAAAACGAGCCATATGTAATTATGCTCTAAGCTATAATGTGTGCACAATATCAATAAGTCTTGCTAAGTTTTCAAAAAGATGATATATTCAAAAGTTGAAATTTGAGATCAGAGCTGTATATTAAAACTAAAAATTAAGCAAATTTAGTAAGAAAAAATAAAAGTGAACTGATCGAATAAGGCAGACAATAAAGATAAGTTTTTATTTTAACCATCTTTGGCCAAGCATTAAGTACTAAGTTATTTGGGTCATTATTACAATCCAGAAGGCATACTAAGTGAAGAAGGTATAAGCCAGAAAATAAAAAAAACATAATCTATCACTATGTAGATTGAGAATATAAAGAAGCTTAACAAAGAACCAAATGAATCTATGGAAAATATTTTGAATAGCTTTTTTCAGAAATACCCTTAAGTTACACAACCATCCAATTTTTAAAAAATGCTCATAATGGAGAAATAATCATTCTGCAGTTAAATTTGCCTCAGCATAAAATCTAATGAGCAAATTTGTAGGGGAAACATTAAACATGCACTTTGAAGAAGTGTCTTCATTATTCTTGCACTACAGGCTTAGAAAAGTTTAATTCCAATTTTTCATCCTCACTTTTGATGCTACACAAAAATTCTAGAAAGGAACAGATACAGTTGACACTTTTGCATTTCACTATGTTGCATAAACAACTCTCCAAGAAGTACACATTTAAAAAATTTATAAAAGGAAACACAAAGAACTCAAAGAGTGAAGACAAAAAGAACAGCTAAGAAATTCAAATGGGGTAAGACATAGACTGTCAGAAAAATACTCTGGAAGAGAGTTTTGAATGGGTTAGAGAAAAACTCAAGCAAAAGAACAGATTTTTGCAAACTCCTCCACTTTTCTTTTCCAACTATTATATCTTACAGACATATATCTTATTGTACTTATACGGAATTTGAAAAGCATTCAAGATTTATTTCTTTACTGTAATATGAATATAAAAGATAAAAATGCAAAAGCACACTCCTACTTTAATGCCGAAGATTATCTCAGGCTCACACAATCCTTTATTTCATAACTGAAACCCTCCCACAAAAATGCGAATGTAAGAAAATTGATAATAAGCCAAATATCTTAGTGTTAAAGCTAACTCCTCTTGAAGCTGCATTAATTACTTTGGGACAAAATGGAGGAAATAATTCATTAAATAATTATCATCATCAGTACTAGTACTGGGTAATTAAGCCTTCCGTCATTTCCTTCATATGGAATGATAGTTCCAATGACTCCTCTAAATAGAAGTGGATATTTCAGAACTGAGGAGAATTTAGGATATGACTAATAAGGAAGCACTTGCCTTATTACCCGAGTGTAACTGTGAACAGAGTACATTTGACCCATGTCTGTTATTTACACTGGTACTCCTAATCCACTATAATTCCTAGTTACTAGATGATTAATGACCAACTTTAAGAAGTGCCAGTGAATACTCATTAAACAAGAAAAGGTGCCTTGGAAAAAAGCTTAGTGCAACCTGAACACACAAATCCCATACAATGTGACTGAGGAAAGCAAGACAGGACCTAGAAAAGTTGATTTAAGACAAAAATTAGATCACATTAGAAACATTTCCATTAATACAATCATCTGAAAGCATGCAGAGCAAAAGCATATAGGAAATAATTTATATTTCCAAAATCATAATGGAAAGAGTCATTAGGCTATCTGAATTTTCAATTTTGTCTAGTATTTCTCTGGCTTTAAATGCTTCTTTTGGCATCCTTGGCATTTTCAACTGTTTTTATAAATAAAAGTTTACTTTATAAAGGAAATATTGATAAGTAAATAAAAACTGATCTTTCCTTCTATAGTTTTAAGAGTTTACATTAACATATTCTGAGGTATGTATCAGGTTGCAGAATTATACAACTATTTTATCTAGGTTCTTTGTCCCCATTACTTTTACTTTGCTTCAAATAAGAACCTGAAAATACACACAGCAAATGTCTTTACACACAGCAAATTATCTTTACAATACAAGTTTCTGTGTTTTTCTTTAATTCTTTAGAGATCTAACTATTACTACTCACTTGAGTGTCTTTCCACTTGGTAATAAAGCTATTTTCTATGTCCATTTGTCTGACTTGATCTTCTTTAACCTGTTTAAAATATAATTTAGGACATTCTAATAATGTAGAAGACAAGGAATGATGGTACTCATCCTCACGTAACTTCAGGAATTTAAATACCAACAAATTAAAAATAAATGAGAATGGCCATCTTAATCAGCATGGGTCTACACAGCTAGGGCAGGAATAAAGCCAACAAGATAAGAGTCTCTAAGTTCAGAATGTTTTATGATGATACTGCTTCAGTCTGCAGATTGCATCAATGGAAGCCCTATTGGTAAGGAGATTTAACAATCAAAGAGGCTGATGACTGGTTTCTTAAAGTTCATGTAGGTTGACAAACAAGACTCATTTCTCAAACTGAAATGTTCATTAAGTGCTCATTAAATTTCTACCATTTAGTTAAAGTTGGGTTTAACATAACTATGAAGATAACCATTCAAAAATAAAAAATAAAGAAAGCATGTAAAGCCATACATCTTTTTTTTCTAATTCTTTCATTCCTCTGCATCAGATTACTGCAAAGAAGTTGCTATTGATCAAAAACAGTGGACACATATAGAAAGAAAGAAAGAATAGATCAAAAAGAAAAGAATCCACCAATTCTCATGTCCATTCCTGTATGAATTAAAACACCAGCAGTGTTACTTTATCAAAATAGTCCCTTTCCCTTTGCTAAGGAATCTTTTGAGTAGTTACTATAATGAGAATATAAAACCTCTACAAATGATAATCTATTACACTAAGCCAATTAGTTTCATCTCTTACATCCACCCTCCAGAAAACAATCAGTCTTACAAACACCATTTAATGCAGTGCTCAAAAAGTTAAATGACAAAACTGAGATACTACAATTAGTTAGGTGATGAAACTGGACCTCTAATGCAAATCATAGACTTATTTCCTCTATTTTTACTTTTTTGAACTATGAAATTCCTATTCTAGCAGTTTTCTGATGAAACATTAAAATATTAACTTCATAAAACAGCACATTGAAAAGTCAAATAATTAAAACAGAAATGATTTACTAAAAGCCATAGAATAATATTATTTCAGGATTTTTGTTTTTTCCAATTGGGGACATAATTTTTTAAAAAAACCTAAAATGCTTTCAGGCTAGCCAGTCAGTTCAGTTGGTAAGAGCATGGCCTTATAACATTAAGGTCACAGGTTCAGACCATGGACAGCTGCCAAAAAGAAAAAGAAAATGGGAAGAAAAAATGCTTTCAATTGTAGAATTTAACAGCCTGGTGTTTATTACTGAATTTGTTAAATTCATAACTTCACACTTCTTAGTAGACATATTTAATGCATATACATATACCAAAGAGAAAACACACACATACAAACTCTATAAATAGAACCATTCTGTCCAACAGTCACCAGATGGTAAAAAGCTTTAAAAGCAGCTAAATTTAAATGAATGGCTATAGCTTAAAAACAGAGTTATTTCTAAAATATTAAAGAAAATATAATTATCCTTTATTTTACCTATTTCTAAACATTCATAAAGACCAGAATAATATCCTAAAATATGTATCACTGTTTGCAAATGACAACAAAACCATTTTAACAAGGGCAGGAAATAAAATATTTACCTCAAATATTTCAACATAATTATTAATTAGGTCCTCGATTACATTCACTTCTTCACTAGTTTGTCCCTTAGTTTGAAACAAACAGGATGAGAAGACCAAGGCCAAGTTATGGGCATTCATGTGATTGATTTCTGAGCATTTCTGAACCCTGTTAGAGAAAAGCATAGCTAATTATGACACGCTTCTATTCAAAAATTTCATAGAACTGAAAGCCAGAAACTCATTTATCATTTTTTAAACACACAAATATTGAAGTTCTCTGACATAAAAAGTGCAGTGGTGATTTACAAAAAAAAAAGAAAGAAAAAGAACCAGCCATCACCCCAAGAAAGGGAAAGTTACATTGATGCAAATGTGCTAGATGATAACTGTAAGTGGTGCACATGGAAGTATCTGTGAATGGTCTCTATTTATTTGTCACTGACTGCACATATAGTAGCTGACAGACTGCCTGTTTAATTACATTTGGAAATTTTTTCAATAGGTACTAAACAAGGGAGACTAACGCTATAGATTCTAGAAAGTACTAGGAAAAGTGAGAAAACATGACAGCAATTTATATGATAATCAAAGAAAATCATAATAAAATGCCAAATTACATAGTAGAGACAGAGAAAGCAAATGCAATCATCATATGATTTACAAGATGCAAAAGGAATTGTAATTTAATAGAGGAGGATGTAATAATTATGAACATCCTCCCTCAAAACCACCTCTGTACTGTTACCACCCTAGACTGTAAATATCTGGAAAATCTGTATGCATGTAAGCCTCTGTTACTGTACTGTTACCACCCTAGACTGTAAATATCTGGAAAATCTGTATGCATGTAAGCCTCTGTTAAGGAGGAATTTAAGTATCTCACAGTCAGAGACTGTTGCTTTAATCACACTGTCCATAATAAATATCTGGGTGAATGGAATTAAATGGATGTTACTGATGAAGCAAGTGATCTTTTATCTAGGGTCAGGATGGAATTAAATGCTGAATCAACCTGACCTTATCTAAATTTACCTCTCAAACTTCTGACACTATCAAATATCCCTCCCTTTCTTGAGAATTCCTTTTATAACACCATTCTCCTTTGGTACCCTTAACCCTCTCTTATCTTAAGTTTTTGTGGCTAAGATAGTGGACACAATATAGTATATTTCCTTTTCTTCCTTTCTTTCTTTGCCCCAGATGTTGGCATTCCCAAGTGTTCCATAACCAGTCTGTTCAGTCTCTCTACTCACTCAGGCCTTCTCATCAGAAGCCCAAAAGAAACAATTTCCTAATTAGTTTCTCTGCTTCTTCCCAAACAATTCCATCATATGGGGTATTATCCAAAAACAGATTTGATCAGTCACTTCTTATCATTTAAATAAAATCTAAATGTTTTTGCATAACCTACAAAGCCTTCCACAACCTCCTGCCAGATAACTATAAGCCATTTCATCTTCCAGTAGTCTTATGTCCCAGAAAACATCCTTCATTCATTTCTCATACTTTTCTTTCATGTCCAGTTTATATGTCTCTTTAAATTTGAAGCATAAAAGCATTCCCTGGATCTCAACACACAATGAATCACTCTTCTCTCCTCTATAATTCTATGTTGAATGCTAAAATTCTGTACACTAAAATTTGTCCCAACATCTCATAGGTATAGACAAAGGACTATATAATGTAGACCTATATTTGTATGGTGTGATAAGAAAATCAGTTTTACCAAAAATGGAATTTACATGCATGAGAAGTAGTGGTTGTAAAAGAGAGATAAAGAGAACAGATGACAAATTGAGGAATATTTCTAAATCTAGACTCCAAATATGGTACTTATAGTAGAATTCAGCTTTATTGAAATTTATTCAAGAGAGTATTTAATCCACGCAAGAAGCTACAACAATATATTCCTTAAGCAAAATTTGTACTTTTCAAAATTTTTGTAATAATTCTTGCTGAGATCAAAACAAACAAAACTTTAGTTTTAACTTAAAAGGTTATTTTTGAACATCCTCATCCTTCAGAGCTCATTTCTCAAATCACCATTATATTCCTTACATCCTTCCAAATGCAGGGGGACTTTCATGTCCTGACACAGAAAATGTATTTGACTTTTAAAATTTCTTCGTCTGACCAATAGTCTGATAACAAAACATAGAGGTCAGGTAAGATATAAATTGATAATGAAGAATCAAGAGTTTATAGAGTCCACCATAAGAAACACTGTGCTCACAGAGATTCCTGTTCTAGAGTTCTTGTCCCCCAAAACACAATGAATCCCTCAATTTCTCTTGATAATTCCATGTTGCATACTAACATTCACTATGTTAAAATTTGTCCCAAGATTTCACAGTCATAGAGATAGGACTATACAATGTAGACTATATTTGTATGTGCAATAAAAAAATTGTTACTTTCTTCTCCAACTTCCCACCCAAATGAGTTTTAAAATTCTTGCTTATGCACTGAAAGCATTTGAGGATGCTGTATATGATTATTACTGATTCATTTAAGAAATTCTCCAGTGCTATTTATCTGTAAATGTCACTTAATTACAGACAGAATCACTGAAGTGATAGTTCTCAAAAGATGGGGAAAGATTCACAGCTACATGCAGAAGGTTAATCACACTACTTTAAATTTAAGAAATAACGACCTATTGAGTGCCTTGTTTGAAATGTCTAGAAAAGTTCACAAATTCATCCACCTGTACAAGTGTTCAATTATAGCTGCCAATGTTGCTCGGTTGACCCCTGGAAGAGTACGTATAAAAGCTCCATACTTTTTAATTCTTTCCTTGTCATCTTGCATATCTGGAGGAAAAAAGAAAAATCTTTAGGCCGAATCACCTATATTTTTAATTGCTTTTTAACAGCATTTTAAAACAATAATCACAAGTGTATTTCAATACGTGATGCAATCAGATTTTAGTAGAAAAAAATCAAACTTGTAAAGTAACTGCCTATAATTCTGGAAAAGCATTTATTTACATAAATATAACATGGCTATATGCTATAGCTTTTATAATTTGTAATTTAAAATAAAGCATTTACAAAATGGAAAGTTTGGAGGGGTTATATTTTTAATCTTCTATTTTATGGGCTCCTGAACTTTAACTTAACAGGAATACATTCAATAAATTACTCAAATTAGAGTACAAATTATAATTTAAAATAAAGCATTTACAAAATGGAAAGTTTGGAGGGGTTATATTTTTAATCTTCTACTTTATGGGCTCCTGAACTTTAACTTAACAGGAATACATTCAATAAATTACTCAAATTAGAGTACAAATTGAAGAGATAAGCCAGAAGTATTTCAACTCTGGTTACATAAATGTTTCATTATTTGTATTTGAAAATGACATTTCTGATTTTTCTTTATGAAATTACAAAAATCTTTCCAAAGCTATGAACCATCCCAGAGCTGTGAACATTGTGTTACCTCTCTGATCTATGTAATGGGGTTTTTACCAGCCCTGGTGCCTTCAACTATTTGGAAAAGATCAGAGGACAATGAAAGAAGTCATGTACAGGCCTTAATACTATGATCCAGACTTAGAGGAAGATGGACGCTCTGCCTTTGTCCTGGACAGAAATTGGGTGGTTCATGGAGTGGAAGATGAGAAGCAATTATTCTCCACTATCCTAACCCCAAAAAACCAGAGACAAGAGAAACTAGAGACAGGAATCTCCAGAGTTCTAGACTCTAGAAGATGTATACTGGTGTTTTGGACTAACCTACTGTCTGATAGAGGAAATAAAAAATCATTCGTCAAATAAAAGCTTTTTCTGACTTTCTAACTCAAGGGATTACACATATATTCCCTTTCAAGTCCTGACCACCTTTACAAACGAGACCTTTTCATTTCCTGCTCAGCCCTATGTGTTCTATTCACTGAAAGCCAGCAGCACATTAATGATTATTTAAAAGTACATGGTCACTTGTCAAGGACATTAGGATCCCTGGGAATGTAAGAAACTCTGTGACACATTTTTCAAGTACACTCTTATTCAAAACTGCAAGTGATATCTCTTTTGTACTGATTTCACCTGCATATGAGATCTATAAAAGTAAATGTAGTCATATCGACTTAAGTACTGTAGTAGATGTCTAAAAGCAAAAGGGGAAAACAACCAAAGACTACATTCAAAGACTATACTGGAAACGAATTAAAAATTATTTATTACCCCCAGCATAATCCAAACATTTACCCAAATGTCATCCAGTTTCTAACCATAGGAGTAATTACCTTTATTCGATAAAATTTAATTAATACTATTACACTTAAAATAAGATAGTCATGCTGGCATAGCATATTTTCATACATCTTATCAGAATAAAATAGATATTTTCAAAATAAAGCTAATTTTGAAAATTAAAACTTGAAAATAAAACTCAGGAAAGATTTCAGGTCATACAGAAAATACAATGAGCAATTCAACTAGCTACAGAATTCAGTCAATTTAATAGTGTTCTTAGAAGAACAGAACTTCTCTCATATACACAGGTGGCATGTCACTACAAAGCATTCTTGGCCTCAGGTACATAGGATGCTAGAAAGTTCTCTCCAATGAAATCACCCAGAGAGTTCTGCCTTATCCTTGTCAGATCCAACATGGGGCACTTCTGAAGGGGCTGGCTTTTATACTGGATCTAACACCAAAAGACTTAAAGGCTATTTGACCCATTATTCAAAGTCTTATCCAAGTAAATTCTTAAAGAATTCACATCCACGTAAAAGGTGAACATATTCCCTTCTGACACATACCTATCACTTGCCAACTATCTCGTCCGCTTAGTAGACTGACAACAGTATACACTTCTTCATCAATGAGTTTGACAACTTTAGTAAAAAATATATTTTTCACATATTTTCAATAACTTATTTTCCACAATAAATACAAATTATAAGTCTTTATAAAATAGATACTACAAATAACTTCATAGTTATAAATTACAATACAATTTTTAATATGAGGGTTAGAAGGTAATTAGCCTTAAAGAGACGTATTTATCTAATTCCGTATTTTATATCCCAGAAAATTACACTATCAACTCTTCTCATTACAAAGTAAATAAAAGGTGCATAAGCCATGAAAAACTTTATTTTAATAGCAATACCACTCTCTTTTTGCTGACACTAATAAAGTTCGTTCTTGGGATAATTTTCAAACTATGGCTGTTTAGTGACATCATTTCAAAATTAATCCCTTCACGTACATTATTTATGTTTCAGATTAAACAAATACTTTCACTGAAAAAAACCTATTTCTCAACAGAGGAACATCATATAGCCAAATTCAAAACCCATTTTTCAAAAAAAAAGTTGAAACATTAAATGTATAAGAAAGATATAGATCAGTACATATGTTATAATTCACAAATAAAGTTTAAAAACTGAAAGAAAATGAAGATTAAAAATAATCATTTTGAAAATGGTGTTATATAAGAAATTCGCAACCCTCAGTGTTGCCCCCGTACCGGACCGGGACCGGCAACGGGATTGCAACCCTTGCCGTTGCTCCCGCGCCTCGCTCAGCCAGTGAGCGGAAACCGGTCTGCATGTGGGATCTTAACCCTCGGGCGGGAGCGCCGCCGCGCTTCCCAAGCGGCGCACTTATCCAGTGCGCCACCGGGCCGGCCCTCTTTGTGTATTTTGACCTTGCTATTTTTGCTATCTGACTGAACTTTGGGATTTTATTTTATTCAATGGGGGTATAAACCATTTCCATCAATATTTATTCTAATGTTCAAATTACCCCAAATTTGGCCAGTTGGATTCCTTTCCAACCGGTTCCATATCCTTTCGATGTGTCCACAGCATTTTTGGAGCACTTCCTCACTTTATGGTACAGGAAGATGTTCTAGGCATTTCCTCCAAAATCACTGATTCTTTTGGTGGAGAATGGTCTTTACAAACCAAGATTTGGGTACTAGGTATGTTTATTGCTACTGACAGGACATTGCTTTTAGATATGTTCATCAGATAGCCTAGGAAATATACGTGTGTGGATGTATATATGCACCTACACACAATCACACATATGTGTAGGCATACATCAGACACCCATACATTTATATTTATAAGGTACACACATGTATATATATGTTTATGCACACATACACATATATAGATTCATATTTATTTCTATATCTACCTTAATATTTTTAGTCTGATATTTCTATTTCCAGGCCAGCACTGCCTAGTGCATTCTAGCCTTTCTGCATTTCTAACTCCTTTCTCCAATGTAGCTTTCATAAAGAAACCTAGCTTCTATTACCCTCAATATAGTAACACTTTTGCCATGCTGGAGTACATGTAATGCAGTTTCAAAATTGCTAGCACATACCACTGTAAAAAAAAGCAAGCCTACAAACTAGAATTAAATAATCTGTTTACAGTGTTTTAGCTTAAATGTACAAAAAGTGAAATGCACACATCTCAACTGTACAATTCAATAAGTTTTGATGAATGTACCAATGATCCTTTTTAAAAATAGAATACACTATTTCCAGTTTCCTCATACTATTCCCAGTCAATCTCTCTTTCCCAGAGGCAATCACTTTTCTGATTTTTTTTGTAACCATAGATTAGTTCTGCCTGTTCTAGGACTTCATATAAATGGAAATATATTCTCTCTGTGACTGGCTTTTTTTCACTCAAAGCATTGTGTCTGTGCGATTCATCCATAATATTGCATATATCAATATTTTGTTATTTTTTATTGCTGAGTAGTATTGCATTGAACATACCATGATTATTAATGCATTGTTCTGTTGATGGTTATTTGGGTTTATTTTGGCTTGGGAGTATTATGAATAAAGGTTCTTGTAAAAGTCTTTTTTTGTAGATATATGTTTTAATTACTCTTAGGTAAATGCCTAGAAATAGGATTATTGGGTAATAGGAAACGTCTACATGGGATCTCCAAAAAGTTTATGGAAAATGCATATTATGAAAAAAACTATGCATGGACTTCAAAGGGATTTTTGGAGCCACAATAAAGTCTCACTAATTTGTTATAAAATGTCTGAACAGAACCTAGTTTGAGGCACGACAAAGGATAGAACATTAGTTTAAAAAGAGCTCCTATCACAGCATCATGAATTCTGCTAAAACTGAAGTAAGAACAAACATTAAATTTATGGTGATGCTTGGGTGGAAGAATGGTGAAATCATTGATGCTTTACAATAAGTTTATGGGGACAATGTCCCCCCAAAATCAGTAGTTTACAAATGGATAATTCGTTTTAAGGAGGGACCAGACAATGCAGAAAATGAAACTTGCAGCAGCAGACCACATCAATTTGTGAGGAAAAAATGAATCTTGTTTGCACCCTAACTGAAGAGAACCAATGATTGACAACAGAAACAATAGCCAGCACCATAGACATCTCAGCTGGTTCAGCTTACACAATTTTGACTTAAAAATTGAGCAAACTTTCCATTGGATGGGTGCCAAAACTGCTGCACCCAGATCAGTTGAAGACAAGAGCAGAACTTTAATGGAAATTTTAAACAGGTGGGATCAAGATCCTGAAGCGTTTCTTTGAAGATCTGAAGAAACAGGACATGAAACTTGGCTTTACCAGTACAATCCTGGAGACAAAGCACAATCATAGCAATGGCTACTGAGAGGTGGAATGGTCCAGTCAAAACAAACATGGACTGGTCTAGAGCAAAGGTCATGACAACAGATTTTGGGATGCTCAAGGCATTTTGCTTGTTAACTTTTGGAGGGCCAAAGACTGATAAGATCTGCTTATTAAGAGAGTGTTTTGAGAAAGTTAGCCAAAGCTTTACAGAAAAACAC